TAGGAAATGTCCCAAATAGGCAATTCAATACCATATCCATCAGTCATTGGCTTCTGAGTCAGGTGAGCAGGAATGAGGGTTAGAACTAGGTATTAACATGGTACTGTGACTTTACTAAAGACTGGAGATGTATGGGTAAGTGTGTGTGTGTGTGTGTGTGTGTGTGTGTGTGTGTGTGTGTGTAAAGACCAGCTACAAAGAACCAGAGGAATGTGTCAAGTGTCTTCTTTCACCTTACTCCTCTGGAGCAGTGCCTTTCCCTCTCCCTGAACCTGAAAAGTCCCATTTTGGTTTTACCAGCCAGTCTGGAAGCGAGCAAGTCCCCCTTCATTCTCCTGACTCCATCCCTCTGTTGTTCAAGGATCCAAACGTCACTACTCACACCTGTACAGCAAGTGCTCTTAACAACTAAGCCATTTCACCAGCTCTTCGACTGCTCATCTTTAATTTTTTTAAAGATTTATATGATTTTTGGGGCTGGCTCAGAGGTTAAGAGCACTGACTGCTCTTTCGTAGGTCCTGAGTTCAATTCCCAGCAACCACATGGTGGCTCACAACCATCTATTATGAGACCTGGTGCAGATATACATGGGAGCAGAATGTTTTATACGTAATAAATAAAATTAAAAAAAAAAAAGATTTATATGATTTTTAATTTTATGTGTGTGTGCATGAGTGTGTCTATGGATGTAGACAATCAGATCTGCATATAGAGCTGGATACAGGCAGTGTGGGTGCTGGAAGCAAACTCAGGTTCTCTCCAAGGGCAGTCTGTGCTCTTAACCACTGAGACTTCTCTCCAGCCCCTTAAACGGTTAAATTTATGTCATGTAAACTTGGCTTTTTTTTTTTTTTTCTTTTTAAGGCTGACATTTTGCAGACCCACTTGGACTAGATAATGAGAACAAACACACTGCAGAGTCCTGCTGGATCAGACTGTGGGAGGAGGCCAGGAAGGAATCGCCACTGGGAGCCCCAGGTGCCACCATCCCAGAGGCCAGCACTGGAGTGGCAGGAAATGGTGAGCCACCTGTGGCAGCACCTAAGGTTTGTTCATAGGAAGGATGACTTGGCAAGATTCTTAACACTGTCATTCTGCAAAATGAAATTGAATATGCTTCAATAAAAATATCCAAAAATAAAACAAAACCCCCATTTCAAACGAGTGTCCCTGAGAGTGATACTCGGTGAGCTTAGGAGGGCTGTTTCTTACACCCCCAGGGGCCACCCAGCATCACAACTCCACCCTCCCCCTGGCAGATGATGATAAAGTGTCCTGGCACTCTCTTGAGAAGCCAGGCCCAGGGCTCAGTCCCCTGTGAGGACTGAGGCAACTCCTTGCTACCCCAGGCAACCAGGATCCTCTACGGAGGGGTGACCCAACAGAATGAAATTCAAATCCCTCCAGAGACCAATCTGGTTCTGCTCTTGTCTTGGCTTGACACAAAGCACACACATGCAACAACACCACACACACTCCTCAGCATCTCTTCTGCTTAGTTCAGCCAGCCTTGAGCCATGACATTTAATTCTTTTCGAGGTGTTCATCCTCGGAGTTTCATCCTTAGGAACAGGTGACCACACAGCCGATCACAGGGAAAACCAGGCTGCCCCTGCCAGAGGACTCCCAGACCCCAGTGGAAACCAGATGCTCATTCCCCATTTGGCGTCTCTGCTAGGACACCAGCTACTTCCCCGGTCAGCCTCACAGAAGCCTGCCTAGCTGATCCCAAGCCTTGTGGCATCTATCAGGTGCTTAAAAATGCAGGGCACAGTTGCCATGGCATTTCAGGAATTCAGCAGTCCCTTTACCCCAACTGAAGGATGGAGCAGACAAGCCGCAGTTATAGCCCAGCATGGTGGCCCCAGATTACACCTGTAAGCTTTTTTAGAAAAGGGGCAGGTAAGCAGACAGACAAGAAGCTGTAAACTTAATTGTTGGAAGGCTTTGGAAAGTCCTCTGGTGCTGTGCCATTTCCTAGACTGTGTCAATGCAGAAACAGTTCTCTCAGGTCCATCCAAGCCAGGTTTCTGGCCCAGCCCCACTTCTGACACTGGCGTCCTTGGGAGTGACTTGGGACTGTTTTCTGCCTTCCCAGAGGCCCTACTGGCAGCATCTGGGAGTCCCACGCCCTTTGGAACAGCAATTACCTGTGGCATCTCCTAGGTCTTCTGGGTACAAGTGGGGAAAGGCCTGCAGGTGATCTGGCTCTCCTTCCGGCCCATCCAAGTCAGGGCTAGAGGGCTGACTGAGCGCCAGCTATGGGATCCCAGATTGTCCGGGGCCAGAGCCTTATCCACTTCTCCTGGCTTTCTCACACCTACCTCCAGCACTCACCCCCAGCTTCAAATTGTTCCCTTCAGCACCCCAAACCTAATAGCCCTAAAACTCAGTGACATCTGGCCTCTCTTCATGCCATGGCCATGAAATAATTTACTCAATGTTTCATAACAGTGGTTGTCAGGATGAAGGTACAGACAAACCCAATGCCTGTCTAGCTGGACCATTCACACAGATGAGTCTCCCCTAGAGACAATGAGGCACTGGCTCAACTCCGTTCACCCTTGTGGTGGTTTGAATGAAAAATGTCCCTAGTTTTGGGCATTTGAACAGTTGATCCCTAGTTAGCTCAGGAGGCATGGCCTTGGAGGAAGTACATCACAAGAGGCAGACTTCGAAGGCTTGAAGACTCTGCCATTTCCATTTTGCTGTGCTTCATGCTTGTAAATGTCTGAAAAGATGTGAGCTCTCAGTTTCCTGCTTCTGCTGCCAAGCCTCCTTGCCATGATGGACTCTGACCCCCTGGAATGATCAGTGCCAAATAAACTTCCTTCTATAAGTTGCCTTGATCATAGTGTTTTATCACAACAAAAGAAAAATATCTAATACAACCCACAATCCATCACCACCCTCTCCTAGGTAAAGGAAGCTAAGAGAGCTGACAGGGTGGTCCCCATGGCTAGCCCTGGAGCCAGTTCCTGCCCAAACACACACATGAAGAACTATCTGGTGTTTTTCCAGAATGAGCTTGCCCACCTGGCACCACAAAGATTTGGAAGCAGTTCCTGCCCGGGGTCTCTTCCTCCTCTCTGACTCCTACAGGTGTTGGCCTGGTCAATATCTCCAAGGCCCCAAATCCTCTCTTTAAACCACTGGCACCATCCAGCTACCTAATCCCTAAGTCAACTCCTCACTCCCTTGCTGCCCTCCTCAGCATCCCTCCCGAGCTCCCCTGGCCTTGTGCTCTCCAGTGAGCTATTCAAGATGCTTCCAAGGACTCTAAGCTTCAAGTGAGCTCCCTGGAAGTCAGGAGGAGTAGGGACAAGGAACCAATAGCACCTGTACAGACACACTGTAAACATGGGAGGTGGATGCTTTTAATGCTCTTTGCATCTCCATAAGATTCCATTCAGTCTTAACCATGTCTAAGTACCTGACTGGAACTCATATCTGTGTTGGCATATGGAACAGAGCCCACCACTTGTAATGTATATAGGCAGCAATGGAAGCCTACCTCTGCAGGCTCATCTTGAACCTGGTTCTAATGGGCCCTGTCTGGCTACTCTGGGTAACCAATCATCCTACCAGCAAGTTCTCAAGATGACTGGGGACACATACACATGGCTCCCCTTCAACCTGTGCCACACCAGAAAGAAAAAGAATCCAGGTCACAATGTCCAGAGGGTGTGAGCAACCTGGGAAATATCTCACATGCTCCAGACAGGGAAACTGAGACCCATACAGATGCCAAACTCCCCACACATGCCTAGGAGGACAGGACTGAAGTGGATGACTATGTTCATCTATCCAATGCCCCTGCTGACACTAGGGAAGACCAAGAATAGAGTTCCCGGATGCTGGTCCAGTGTCCAAGAGCCAGAGGCACTGTGTTCTTGGCAGACAGCAGAGGGTCTGGCTGCTTCACACACCCGGTGGGCCCCCTGCTTGGGGCTGCAGCAACACATTTTGGTATACCATCTCAGGGACACCATATGTGTACCTTCAGGCATCAGGAGGACTCCAGATGCACTGGGTGTGAAGCAAGTGGACACACTCAGCCCTGGTGCTGCTCCTGAGCCTCAGGCCTGACTTAGGTATGGCCCACCAGGTCTGCCGGCTGTCCAAATACCACACTTGACTGGAGGAAGCTCCCAGGTTAGATGATGAACCCTGCACAGCTCTACTGAAAAACTGATGGAAAGGCACAGTTGTTTGGTCTCAAAGAGGAAAAAAAAAAAAAAAAAGGTATAAATAGGGATTTCAGGTTCTTCAGCTCTAGAGGTGAAAGTGGGAAATTAAGTTGTAGCTTGACGCCATTTCACCACAAGAGCTTCACTTTATTTAACCTGCCAGGGTGAAAAGGATGGTGCAGGCTGGAGCTGGGCCAGCGTAGCCTCACTGCCCGTGAGATAGTGATGCTGGTAGAGTGAAGCTGCAGGGTGCTGGGTCAGGAGCAGATAAAGGAAGAGGATGTAGGCATCTGGAGTTGGAAATGCAGACAAAGGTGGAAGAGGCCTACTTTTCAAGGCTTTGGCAAAACACTGCTGATGTAATGGCACACATCTGGGGATGTCCCACAAGGGAAAATGAGTTCAAAGCCAGCCTGGGTACCATGTTTCAAAAACCAAAATACAACCAAGAAAGATTTAGATGACAGAAACCCAAATTTACACATTCTTTCATAACTCCATATTCTAATATCAGTTGTAGGGTCTGGAGAGATGGCTCAGCAGTTCAGAGCACTTGTTGCTCTTGCAGGACCCAGGTTCAGTTCCCAGGATCCACATTCACAAATGTTTGTGACTCGTTTCCTGATGCCCCTTCTGGTCTCTGGGGCCACCAGGCATGTATGTGGTACATATCCATGCATGTAGGTAAACACTAATCATACAAATAAAAACAAAATTTAAAAAATAATCCAAGTGTAATCATGTTTCTGAAGCCAAGAGAAGTGATAGCACCTGGTATAACGATGGCAATGGGCTGTGTTCATACATACCTGCACCAGCTCTTTGTGGTGACATAAGCCTGTAATCCCATGTCTCCAGGAGTAGAGGCAGGAGAATGAGCTTGAGACCAGCTCGGGCTATACAGCCCACCCTGTCTCTGAAAGAGAAGGGGCAAAACAAACAAACAAACAAACAAACAAAAATTCCCTGTATTCTGTACACACAAGCATGTCAGGGTGAACTGGCTGATCTGGAGCATGCTTGAGGATGTCAGTGGGGAAGAGGCAGCTGGAAAGCCACCGCCCAAACACCTATAACTGCAGGAGGAGGAGGAATGGACAGGCACAAACCAAATCTGCTTTCACCCTGCTTTCATGTAAAATTACTTCAAGGTAGAAACTTTTTAAAAATCCTGTTACATTTTCTACAATAACAATTCATATAGCTTAAAAAAAAAAGAAACATTTTTGTCATCCTGGCAGCCCAGTCTCTTGAACGGCAAAGAATAAACCCAATGGTGTTGACAAAGAAACTCAGTTACAAAATGTTGCTTCTTAAGAATGTGTAAATCAAAGCTTTTACAAGCAACACCTTATTTAAATAACTACACAGGCTGGGGGGGGGAGAGATATTTCCCACAAATGCTCATCAGCCACCATGCTGTATGCATTCCAGCCGCTGGCAGCAGAGCCCGCCAAGCTGCAGTGGTACCCTCCCACACAACTGGGAGTTGGGGGAGAATCCAGGGAGCAGGGCCACAGTATATGCTCAAAAATCCCAATCCTGATTGGCAACTCTACACTCATTTTTCACTGTCATAGAGGTTATTTTGTAGCAAATCCTCCTGGGCAATAAAAGCCGGAGTACAGCCAGACAGCTTAAAAACCTTGGGTGGGGGACCCCACCTATAACCCACTTTAATAGGAAGTTTCCGGTTGGGTAGAGAATTTACATATGCTAAACCATTAACCCTTTTGGAAGGGAGTGGGGGAACAACCCAAACCTGTCAAGTTCTGAACCTTGCCCCCCCACCTCCAGCTATCAGCTTCACACGTGTAAAAGGGGGATAATAACCCACTGTGAATTCTATTTTTAATGTTAATTTACTAAGTATTTACTTCCCTTCAAGCTGGGGAGCCGCAAAACTCTTTGTAACGTTTCTAGAATTCAGATACAATGGCCTTCCATCCTCCTACATTTGGAAATATGGTTGCGTCTCATTGAAGAAATTGTATGGGGGGGGGTACTTTCAAGCAAAATTAAAAGCCATGGTGCCTACAATAAAATGAAGCTGCACTCCGACCTTGCGATTACAGCACACTGGCCCACCTGGATCTTGGGTTCCTTCCCAGTCTGCCATTAGCCAGGAATTATCCTACAGGCATCTCTTTTCTCGCCCAAGGTTTTCTGGTTAGAGGGGACTGTCTCTCCCTCAGGCCACAACGCAGAGGCCCACGCAGCAGCAGCCATCTTCAAAGCTGCCAGTGACCAAAACGAACCGGTTGATCCAGAGGGCTACCGCATTCTTTTCTAAAAGGCAATCTCCCCTTGCAGAACACACAGTAGGTTCTTATTTCCACCCTATCTGGGCATCCACTGGTCTAATCCACACCAAACAGGTAGTCCCAACGGTGGGTCAAGGTCAAAGATACTGGAAGCCACTTCTCTAGGAGTGTTCAAACAGGTTGCCTAATGCCTGCTGGCTCCTGAACATTACAGGGCTCTTAACCTCTCTGAGCTTCTACTGACTGTCTTCAGAATGAAAAACCACTATGACAGGCCGAAACGAGCAACATGCAAAACAGAGGAAAGCCTGGTCTCGTTCCCAAGGAAGTCACTAGAAACTGACACTCTGGAAAAATCGTGCAGCCTCGGAACTAAGGTTTTCTGGGTTCCTCCACAGCGCTGAGCTGGCCATTTCCAAGGCGGCTTCCAGACCCCAATATCTGCCCCCCAGGACTCGGTCACCTCCCAGGCACAAGGTGAAACGGGTCTACAAATTGCTGGAAGCCCTATAATGCATTTAGAAGTTGGTCAGTGGGCATTCGAGGAGCCAGCCCTATGACATCAGGAGAGGAGGCGCACTAGGCTCCGGGCAGGTAGCTCTGGGGACCCGGGAAGATCTGGGCGGCTTCCAGAGCCCACAGTGGGGAAGTGTGGGGAGGCCCCGAGGCGAACCACTAGGTCAGGTGGGCAGCAGGGAGGGCCCGCGGGCGCCAAGTACAGCCTGGCGGACAAAGGGGGGCAGGCTGAGCCCAAGCAAGCGGCTGGGCAGCCGGGAAAGAGAGCCACGTGCCTGGCGGGAGAAGGCAAAAAATCCTTCTAACACTTGACTGTTTCCTCAGCCCTGCGAGTAAA